ACATGTTCCTGTTTTTAGTTTTCTACATTCGCCTTAGAATCTAGCTTTTTTTTTTTTTGTTACCTTTTTCCTTTTAGCCATCCTATTTGTAAAACAAACAAACAAAAAAAAAACCCTGCAGTATGACTTTTTATAATTGTTTATTGTTGTTGCTGTTGTCCATTGTTGTCATCTTTCTTTGTTGAAATCAGGTCTCTCTTGTAAATGAGTCCTCGAGGCTCAATGGGATTTACCTGTCTAAATAAAGGTTGATTTTTCATCCATCATCTTCCGCTTGTTCTGAAGTCGTGTCGCGGAGGCAGCAACTTGAGCAGGGAGGTCCACACATCTCTTTCCACAGCCACCTCTTCTGCACGTCCTGGGTCTTCCTTGGGGTCTCCTCCCAGTCAGACACGCTTGAAGCACAGGTGCCCAGAAAGCATCTGATCCAACACCACCAGGTGTTGATCAGTCGACAGCTCCGCTCTCTTCACCTGAATGTCCAAAGCAAACGGCCACATGACGGATCAGATGACGACTACAAAGTCTCGTTGATCTGTGACTGAGAGTGTCCTGGTGCTATGTGCACGTCTGGACGTTATAAGAGCCAAAAGTGAATGATATGTTTCATTATTATGGTGGCACAGGTGTTCAGATTTGTCCAACCCTTCAGGCTCTGTTTGACGGATGGCAAAAGTTCATCATGTTAGTTTTAAAAGTGCAAAACACTAGTTTGACTCCGCATGGCTCATTGGAGACGCGTCACAGAGCAAAACCTACTCAGCCGGCAGCGGCTTTATTTTGTGGCTCAACGTCGCTACAGACATCTTTGTTTGAACATGGTGTTGACGGACAAACTGCGACTAGCACATAAGTTTTAACACGTTACTGTTGTAAAAGAGAGGTTCCCAGCTTCAAATCGTTGAATTACCTGCTCAGATTGTCGTCAAGCTCAGCACGAGTTTGTCAATGGCTCCTTCAGTCAGGGGAACATCTAAAACGTGCAGGATTGTGGGCCACGAGGATCAGTTGTGGACCTCTGCAGCTAAAATCTATTCTGAACGGATTCTAATGAAACTCATTCAGTTCACAACTTTTGGAGTCGTCTCCATTTCTGATGGTCGTAGCAGCTAATCGACCTTATCGAACACAAACGTTGTAAAAAATATTAGCTATTTCTGCAGATACTGAGGTCGAATTGAGTAGAGCATGTGAGAGTCGAACACATAATTAACGTGCTTAAAGAACTTTAATTTTAGTATGTGTTTATTTAAAGTGTGTTACTTTAATTTGCTTGAACAGACTTCTTTTCCAAAGGCCCCATCACTTTAAAAACTAAATGTGAAGTCAGATACTTGTTACCAGTAACAGACTCCATAAATCACAGTGTGATCGATTTCTACGGAGAGCAGCCAC